CAAAGACATGTTAGATTATTCACCTGGAATAAACTGTATCAGCTTTACAAACACTAGGAAATATTGCAAAAGTGCTACTGCCAGCAGGAGCTGACAAGCACCTCAGTAATCTGGATTTTCAGATTCTGTGTCGATAATGAATCAAACCAGTACGTTGGCAGAAAAGGATCACAGCGACTGCTTCCCTGAGACAGCTGGAGAGGATCTTTGCAGACAGGAATGGTATACTCCTATTTGGAGTTTTAGGCCTTGTTTTTAGTTCCAAATTTCAGGTAATGAGAAGGGAACAATAAGTCAATACGCAGAAGAGAGAAATAGCGATTGTCAGATGTCTAAAAACTCTTCCCTGATGAAAAGGCAAGTGTTATTGAAGTACCCTGACTGAAAGAGAAGGCTGAAAAACTAAAGTTTCTTCTTAAACATTTAAGATATTATGAAAAAGGAAGCCATTTTTCCTTAATATACATTGTTGAAAGTATAGGAACTGATGTTCTTTGCAGCAAGTTAGCAGTAAGGAAATAGCTTCTAACATGGAGTGGAAAATGTTACAGGAAATGACAGCACTCTCCAAGAAGCAGAGTGACTAAGTCTCAGAAATAAAATGGGTTCTGTTGACTTGATAGTGGATAGAGTGCAACAAAAATTGCTCATGTCTGGGTATAGGTAATTATCCCAGAACTGTTGATTAAAGAGTATCTCTGAGGGGACAAAGGAGGAATGTTGTATGCAATATACTTGACATTTCATGATATTTCTGGAACCATCTCCCAAGTGTTCTTGTTTGGATTCAGAGGAACAACAGGCAGGATCAGCAGGCTCTTAGATAGTTAAAAATTGTCTGTAGCACAGGGCCAAGGGGCTATAGTCAACAACTTAATTCTGCAGACAAGCAGTTACCAAAACAGTGCTCCAGGGCTGGTATTATTTAGTGTTTTCTGGAACAACCTGGGTGCAGGGACAGAGTGTGCACTTAGCTAGTGTGGCTAGCACAAAGTGAAGATGGCTAGACAGGGTCAAAAGTATTACTTTCAGACAAAAGAGATGTTAATAAACTTGAGGCATGGGCCAACAGAAATCTTGTGCAGTTTGCCAAAGAGAAGTGCCAAGTTGTGCACATGAAGGCACTTGCATGCTACTGCCTCAGCACAGCCCAGGGGATGGCTGGTCTGACCTGGCAGGACCTGGACATTGTGGGGAATTCCATGACTGCTGTATCCTTAAGGATGAGCTGCTTTGTCCAGAGCACGACCACGAATAAATCCCTGTAAGTGCCTGGGGTTTTCAACTGGAATTTTTCTGTTTTCCAACCAAGTATTGCTGTAGCAAAAACAGCACAGCAGCAGTGTCTGGAGTCACTAACCAAAGGCACATTGCCATTTTTCAGAGTTGGTTTCCTCCAGAAACGCATAGCCCAAGACAATATTCAATAAATTCCTACAAGGATGCTCACATTAGATTTGCACTTGGAAAACTATGCCCCAGAGAGAGCATTTGGACAAGGCAGCACTTCAGCTGCTTTTAAGTATTTGCAGCTCTGTAAGGGTTGGCAGAGTTCAGCTGCAAAACGTGCTGCCCAGCCCAGCTCTGCACGAGCCCAGGCAACAAGAGGAGCCCAGCTACTCAGCCTCAGCTGTGCAAAAAATGTGGTGCTTACAATTCTTCCTGGATTCATCTTTCTAGCTTAATCGAGGGACAGTGCATCATGAGACCTGTGCTGCTTCAGTCAAACGCCAGTTTAGGAAGAAGAGAAAGGATTGAGAGAAGCAAAGCTCCTGAGCATCCGTGCCAGCTGGGGCTGCTGAGTAGCTGGTTTGCTGTTCACTGTGTCTCTACCAGAATGCAGGAGTAGATTTGCATGGAGTGCTGCTGGGCTCAGAGCTCCAAGGCCACCCTGGAGCACTCGTTAGATAGAACATTCTGGTGCTTTCCTCAGAGAAGCCCAGGAGTGCTGAGGCCATGGCCAGAATTTGCTCAACGTTGTTGCCCTTGCCCCCCCTTGCAGGTTATTGACCCTGTCCCTTCTCTCCCATATCCTATAGAAGCTTCAGGTGAAGAACTGGGTATTTCATTAACTTCTCAACAGCCCAAACCTCAGCTAGGAGTTCCTCCAGCCTTTTTTCCTGGCCTCTTCAGCTATACCAGCCGTTCCAGCTGTTCAGTGAGCCTGCAAGGCTTCAGCTCGTGCGTGGCATGATGGGGGTGAGGCCCGTGCAAGCCTTCTTGCCAGCAGTGACTCACACAGCATGCCCACAAGACAATTTTTGGAAGATTTTGCCTGTCTGTGGATCGTCTGATCTGTAAGCCACTCTGTGTGAATGGCAAACTGCGTCTCAAGGGTCTCAAAGGTCAGTCCAACAGGCTGGGCCACGACAGAGGGCTTTTCTTGATTTATCAGTCCCTGTGTATTTTCTGAATTTGGCAGCAGGAACGATGTTGGAAACAGCCCAAACCAGGGCTAAAGCCCAAACTCTTATCTCTGACCAGCTGCAGTGCTTAAATAAAAAGATGACAATGGGTCTCTCCACCTCTGACTGTCTGAATTAGTAGGGAAAGGCAGGGAAAATACTAAATTAGTTATCAGTGTACCAGTCATTAAACAAAATTTGTGGCATTTGCTAGTTTTGCTTGGACAGCATAAAGCATTTCTGCACTTATGCTGCTGCCAGGAGACTCCTTCCAAATGGTAAATCCACACAGGCAAATATTGACTTTTGTGCCTCAGTCTCAAAATCAGAGCTTTCTGTGCTTAAAAAATTTCTTACCAAAGTGACGTGGGCTGCTCTATTTCAGTAAGCATGGCTTTCTAGCATGGCTGAACTGAAGGTGTGCTGTGTGGGCACAGGGATGCAGAGAACAAAGACCACTGGGGTAGATTCAGTAGCCTAAGGACTGCCAAAGAAGTGAGATCTTGTGCAGTTTACAGTTCTTTGTGGAGGCAGGTCCCGGCTGATCCCATCTCCATGCTCTAGGAGTTGAGTACTCTCCATCCAGGTTCTTTCAGATATTACATGAGGAGGGTTTGATGCTTAATTTTAAATTTTCTAATGAGCAGCTTTGAAGTTTGATTGTATTTTTAATTAGCAGAAGGATACTGTACTGAAATTGCAGCCAAGCATAACAAACCTTTTGCAAAGGACAGTTGAATCACAGTAGAAACAAAATTCTCATTACTGGTCTGTATGTGCTCAGTATCAATGCTGCCCCCCTGCCCAGTCCCTGGGAGGGAATAGGCTGGTTGAAATCACCTCGAGCCTGTTGCTATCTCCAAATTTTCTATTTATTCTCCAGTTTTTACCAGTTACATTGGGCAGATTCACATGTACACGGCCCGTCCTCCCCACCCCTCATTTTCATCTGGCTTGCTGAGGAAGAAGTTAGCCTTGTTGATCATCTGAGGAAATCTGATGATTCACTGGCGCAGCTCTCTTGTGTAAAACCATGGTAACCTCTCTGTCTCCCTGATGTTGAAATAAATGCAGTTTTCTTTTCAGTGCCTTATTCCTCCAGCTCGTGGTGGCTCTGCCTTTCTCCTCTGAGCTCTCCTCTCTTGTGGCAATGTGCTGCTCTGTCAAAAGTGCTCAGGTTTGCAGTGAAGGGAAGGATTTATTTGTTCCTCCAGATGAGATCTGTGTTTCCAGCATGGCAGATGACAAGGGCATGAAGGCAGTGCAAAGCCTGGCTCATTGGCAGAGGGCTTGGTGCTTTTCCATTCTTCCTTTGAGAGTGACACAGAACATTTCGAAGGGGGAAGGAAGCACCAGCTGGCAGTGGGTGGAAAATAAGGAATACAAAAAATTATACAATACTTACCCTAAATGCAAAACTATTAGTTTGAAAGTACAAACATATTTCCAGAATTTTATTCATATATATTCTTAAAATATAACGTCTGGCAATATTTTTTTTTTACTAATGTTGACCTAAATTCAAAGTAACATACAATGAATGATATTTTAAAATTTAACACTCTGAAGGAGTACATAGAAATTATGTTTGCCATCTCTACATAAAAGGACAAGAGAAGAACAAGATTATTTTGAGATCAGTTTTTCAGCTGTACCAGCTCAGGATGCTTTTACATGATGACATCTGGAATGTCCTAAGACCACTCCTGATTTTCACAGAAGGTAATTCAGAATGTCTTCTGTTTCCAGTATTGATATAGATACACACATGCACACACACAAAAGAAAAAAGGTAAAGATTGATGAAAGCCTAGTCTATAGTAAAAAGCTGCATGATTTTTTTACTAATCAAGGAGCAGAAATTTCAGTCTATAATTATAGTAAAGGTAATTTTCCAAAAAATTAAAACCCATAGAATTACCCCACTGCAGTAGCTCAAAATGAGCAAAATAGCGGAAGTCATAAACTAATATAACTTTAAAAATATAAAAGAGATTGTAGTTCAGGTTCTGGTTAATATGCGAATACAGACAGAACATTGCTGATGTAAAATTGGAATAGTTAAGAAATGGGAGGTGAAGATCAAAATAAAGAAACTAGTAAAATTATATATTACTTTGAAAAATTATTTAAAGCTGTTAAGCGATCACAGATCAAAATCCTGAAGCAACGTTTATAGCACTTTGAATAAAAATAAACCAGAAGTATTAATGAACAACAGCATGAAAATAATGAAAATTTGAAGTCATTCACACCAACCTCTGCCAGTGCAACAAGATATAATACGTGCACAAATGCAAATGGTTTATACAAATCTGGGTGGGGGGACAACCTTCCAGCTGTATGAACACGCACATCGTCGGAATTTTTTTCCTGGAGGAGGTTTGTTCTTTGCTTCACTTGCCAGATGTTACAGCCCCCGAAACTGCCAACAGCGAGCGGTGTTCCGCCATCGGTGACGCGACAGGGAAATGGCGGGAGCCCCGCCCCTCCCCTTTGCAGTCCTCAACCAGGTCGGACCAAACCCCATAAAAGCCGCGGCGCCGACACAGCCGCTTCACACCGACGGTGTCAGTGGCAGCAGCAGCGGGGTGCTCATCATGTCTGGTCGGGGTAAAGGCGGCAAGGGGCTCGGCAAGGGCGGCGCCAAGCGGCACCGCAAGGTGCTGCGCGACAACATCCAGGGCATCACCAAGCCGGCCATCCGCCGCCTGGCTCGGCGCGGCGGCGTCAAGCGCATCTCGGGGCTCATCTACGAGGAGACGCGCGGCGTGCTCAAGGTCTTCCTGGAGAACGTCATCCGCGACGCCGTCACCTACACGGAGCACGCCAAGAGGAAGACGGTCACGGCCATGGACGTGGTCTACGCCCTCAAGCGCCAGGGTCGCACCCTCTACGGCTTCGGCGGCTAAACTCACTTTTCTACCGTGTCATTGCTGCAAAGATCCCAAAGGCTCTTTTAAGAGCCGCACACTTAATCTGAAAAAGAGCTGTGTTGCTTTAAAAGTGATGTATTCACTTTAAAACTTAGAATTTGTAATTATTTCTTGATATATAATGAGACGTGCTTATTTGAAATGTCTGTCAAAAGAGTAATCTCTCCGGTAATAGGCAGAAGACTGTCTTAGTTATGTTTTATGTCTAGGATAATGTACTTGCTATTTAAGAAAACTAAAAAATTAACAATCTAAACGCGTAGCTGCCTGATCCGTGCTGGCGGCTGAAAGGTACATAAGTGTCTCCCTGCAGGCATCTCATGGGGGGGGGGGGCTCTTTTAAGAGCCACCACATGCGCTGTAAAAAGAGCTGTAACGCTGCCTGAAAATTCCCTTGAAATTCACGTGCATGTTTTCCAAAACAGCAAAGTGACAAGTGCTTTAATACTAGACAGTGGAGGTGTGAGAAGCAGAAGTTGCAGGAGGGTGATTGGAAAGCCTCAGGCAGGGGGGAGGGGTTTACATCCCTGTGGCGGATGGACGTGACACAGCTTTGAGCAGAAGAGGGGCTGGAGGGGCCTGGCAGGGACACTCCTGTGTCTGCAGTCGAGCCGTGCTCAGGAAATCTGTGCCTTAAACCCTGCCCGGCTGGTTCAAGGCACGGGCAGAAACTCCCTGTGTCACTGTGCTGTGTTGCTGTCCCTTGTCACCGTCACACCGAACAAACAGATCGCCTTAAGGGGGCTGCCACCTTGCTCCAACAATTCTTAACACCCGGAACAAGAGTAACCATCGCAATAAATCCGTTTTGATGGTCTCCGGTTTGATATATATTGTTATTCCTGCTGTTGAAGCAATGGGCCACCATGCTGATGGCACCGGGTGCCTGAGGCTTCTTGCAGCACAGGAAAGTAACTGAAAAGGCCAAGAAAATGATTGAAAAGTACTGTGGTTTAAGGAATAATTTACCAAAATTTTTCAGGTTTGTTACTATAATAATACAAAACTGGGGAGGGGGGAAGGTTGTGGGTTTTAGTTTGTTTGTTTTGGGGGTTTTTGTGTTTTGGGTTTTGTTTTTTTTTTTTAAGGTTTTTTTTTTTAATTATGGATTTAAAATTATGTACTCTTGCCCTAATGAGAGTAAATGTATTTGTCTTTTAACTTGCATTTCTTCAGTAGTGATCACCATATATGATGAATGCTGCAGCCTTCTTCATCATTCCTTCAGCGTTCTTCATGAGTTTCTGGAAGGACAGACACATACACCCGCAGTTTTCAGACTTCTAAGGACCCACCTTTGTTCAAATTCTTACAATGAGGCAAGGTCAGTCTAACAAGGGTCTGAGGATCAAAAGGAGGAGTTAAAAAATAAACCTCAGATTCGTTAGTGGCTGATGTTTCTCCAGTTATTTTTGGAATCATCTCCCTTTCTTCTGCAGGGAGCAGTTACCAGATCTGCAAAAATTCACACCTGCTATTTGGGATGCCACAGCCTTGAGGGCTGGAAGCACCTGCAGGCTGCTGTTAGAAGCCAGGGTGGCCCCTGCTGTCTTTAGAGGCTTCTGGGCACGATTTTCCTGCTTAGAAAAGCTGCACTACAGACCCGGTCTGCCAGAGACAGCGCCTGGGGGGCTGGGAAAAGAAAGCAGAAAGACTTGCTGAGTTTGCCAATCAGATAGGATAAAGATTTATTTGGGGGGGTTCTGCCTTTTATCCCTTTTTTATTTTCTCCCTTCTTTTTTCTTCCTCCCACAGAAAGCTCCCTGAATGAATTTATTGCTCATCATGGCCCAGTTTTTGGAACAAGGTTGGAATGGAAGGAGAGTTGTATAATGTAGCATGATTAAAATTTCTCCTTATTTTTATTAAGCAGCATGATGTTATAAGAAATGTTAACTAACACCCTGGGCAGAGAAAGAAATATTTCAGTAGGCCATAAAAGTTCCATGTTCTCTTAAAAGTCAGAGAAAATAATAAACAAAAGAATAATCTCAGCCTTTCTTTCTTCCTTCTTCTTCAGTTGTAACAGAGCATGTGAACACTGACTAGGAAAAATAAATAAATAAATAAATAAATAAACTCTGTGTTATTTCTAACAAGCAGCACCACGTCAATGCTGTAAGATCCTACCCAGTCCCTTTTAGCAATTTTACTGGAGATCACTGACACGGAGCCTGAGAACACGGAGAAGATGTCCCTGATCACTGCAGGGGTGTTGGGCTAGATGCCCTCTGAAGGTCCCTTCCGACCCAAGCTATGTGTGATGCTACAGGATTGGAGACTAAAAAATGTTTAAAGTAGAATGATCACATTAAAAAATGGGTGGTTTTTTTCTGCTATTATTAACACCATTATGATTGTGTCAGTTCTTCTCACAAGTACCAGACAGGGAGAAACCCCAAGGCTGCCCCAGTCCCTGTCTAAATTCCAATCAACTTACCAGTCATAATGAATAATTTCCTCATTCACTTTTGAGAGCTGTTTCCACAGACTGGTACCATGGAAGGCTCTTTATAGAGCTTGGCTGTGCACTATAAGGAACCACCAGTGACCCCTGCCTCTTTATTTACCATTGCAACACTTCTAAGACTTTAGTCCTTTTAACCTTTACTAACCTCACATTTGGGCCTAGTCACGAACTCTGAGTCAGTTATAAATTGCAAGTGTGTAGCAACAAGGAGTATCAGGATGGAGGCTACTGAAGTCTTAGAGAGTAGGCAGATATATTGTAAATTTTAATATTATAATAATGGAGCTCCTTTTAAATTATACTTAGGCACAGTCTCTGTACTTTTCCAGCAGGAGCACTGCCATGTATAAATTCTCACCCCACTCTGCACGTGGTGATGGACAAAGAAAAGAATAAAAGATAATAGAACAATTTCAACTAAAAGAGACTTAGAGTGACCATCTAGTACCAGCTGTGAAACAGTTTCTGTTGTTTAATACACCATATAATATTGGAACTGCAGGAAAACATGCCAGATGGTGCTGAGGCAGAGGGGAGTGAGAAAGAGATGGATAGATCTGAAATTTATGAATGGAAGAAGAGAATATGAAGGTGTGTTCAGGTATATAACATTTACATAGATATGTTTATATTCACTTTCATGCCTACATTACTATGCTATGAGTAGTTCTTGTATATACCATGTTTACCTTGTGAGTATTGTTTCAGAAAAATACCATATGAATCCCCTTAGAGGATTCCCCATATGCTATATTCTAATATTTGAATTTTGATTTCAAAACAGTTTGGCTGGTGACATTTACAGAAGGGTTTTGGAGAGGCTGGAGTCCATTGTCAAGGACAGGGGAAAAGATGTGGCAGCAAAGAAACAAAAATCAACACAAATCCCAGTGCTTTATTTGTGAATTTGTAGAAAAGTTGGCCTCTTTAAAATACTAGAACAGTGACAGTCTGTAAGACCTGGCACAACCAGAAATAGAACTAAAGGCCAACTGTAATTTCCTGACTACAAAGTTTTATTGAATCAACTGAATTCTGCTAAGTTTTGGCCTTTGATCTCCCCGTGTATGTTCCTCTACCGACTTTTCCTGTCATCAAATACAAACCACTAGCCTTTAACTCCCAAAGCTGTTTAAGCCTATTTCCTGCAGGTCTCCCGTTGGCTAAATCTGCCAAGCCTTGACAGCCGCTTTCTTTTCCTCAGCTGATGTGGTCCCAAACAGGAGCCACAAAACTTTCTGTGCCAGGGCTCTCTGTGTTTTGGGAGAAGAGAGGAGACTTGTCTGAAACAACCAACCACGGGATTCTCTTTGCCTTTCCAGGCATTCATTGGCCTTCTTCTCCAGCCTGTCCTCAGTCTTAGCACACATAAACCTACCCGCCCACTGACCCCCACCGCCCCCTCCCCCCCACAAAAAAAAAAAAAACAACTAATTCGACTAAACTATTGAATTTCTCAATTTTTAATCCTATCATCAAGCATATAATCTTAGCACTCTTGTTTTAGTTGTGTGATGGAGGTAGAGCTGAGATATCCAGTTAAAATATCAAAAGTATGCCACAGTAAAAGCAATGATAAGAGTGTAATAGTTAATAAAAAGCTGTTTGAAACTTGATGTTTTTCTTCCGATGCTGACTCAGGTTATACCTTCCACTATGCTTTAAAGTAAACCTGGACTATTCCAAATAGATTATTTTACAGACTGTATCAAGTTGGGGGTGGGGGGGCACAAACTCCGAGCGAAAGCAAGAGAAATGAATGCAACGCATCTTCCAACGCCGTCATTTATAGAGCAGCCACGTCTCTGATTGGCTGCAGGGAGCGCGCTCCTATTGGCTGTCGCGGGATCCCAGCCGGGGCTGAAGCTCCGCTCGTTTCCCTCCGGCTTCGGCTCTGCCCCACCGCAGCCGGACAGAGTGCGATCGGGGCAGGGGATAACATTCTGCACTTACGTGCACGTTGTATTTTCTTTCTGTGTGTCTTTGTTTTGGTTTGCTATTTTTAATGATGGGCTGGTTACAAAAGAAGGAAAATGTTCTTTCAGTGTGGTACAGAGCTCCTTACGTGAATAGACACGTAATTCCCAAAGACAAAAAGCACGGATGGGCTGGCACCTTGAAACAGGGGCACTCAAAAGATTCCAGTAACACAAGTTTGTAGCTATGATATGTAACAAGCTGTAGTGATCGAGATCATTTTTAAGCTACTGTTTTCACGCTTTTCATGTTTTATTTCACTAGGAAATTCTGAATGAGAAGCTTTACATATCATCAGGCAACATCGTGATGATACTTTGGCCATTGACCTTTTTTTGGGTGAAATTAATTGAAAAGGAATGTGGTATCGGTGTGCTATTTAATTTTCCCCTACTCATGAAGGTGTGACAAAACCAGATGCAACCACAAATATATATTGATATCACTGGTTGCAAGTGCCAAACAATTTTCAAAGGTTTCATGTAAAGTTAAAAGTTTCTTTTCCTTTTGATCGCTAAGTACAATAAAATTTTTGGGGGGATTCTTTTTTGTTTTTGGGGTGGTTTTTTTGTTTTTTTTTTGAGAAAAGTATCAAAACAAGGCATCTTTTGATACATTAAAATGTTTCTAGGTTCATAATTTGGTTTTATTGCCCAGTTCCCCTCCCATCCCTTCCCTTTCCCCCTCCTCTCTCCCTCTCCCTCCCCACCCCATGACGCCCCAAAGCATCACTAGAAAACAGAATTAGATTCACTCCTTTATTTTAGAAGCAAATATATCATAAACAAGGGAGGGGAATAGATATACCACAAAACATTCACCTCAGGGCAGCTTAACGACTTTTCTCTAGCAGAAATGTCCGTTCAAATTTCCTAATGCTTTTTTGTAAGAGAGTTTGATAAAGACTGCAAGCATTGCATTAACAGCTCTGGAAAGACTTGAAAATAGCATCATCCTTTTCTTCCAATCTCTGTAACATTGTAATACAGCTCCTTTAAAGGAAAAGGTGGGTGGCTCTTAAAAGAGCCTTTGGGGTCTTTGCAGCAATGACACGGTAGAAAAGTGAGTTTAGCCGCCGAAGCCGTAGAGGGTGCGACCCTGGCGCTTGAGGGCGTAGACCACGTCCATGGCCGTGACCGTCTTCCTCTTGGCGTGCTCCGTGTAGGTGACGGCGTCGCGGATGACGTTCTCCAGGAAGACCTTGAGCACGCCGCGCGTCTCCTCGTAGATGAGCCCCGAGATGCGCTTGACGCCGCCGCGCCGAGCCAGGCGGCGGATGGCCGGCTTGGTGATGCCCTGGATGTTGTCGCGCAGCACCTTGCGGTGCCGCTTGGCGCCGCCCTTGCCGAGCCCCTTGCCGCCTTTACCCCGACCAGACATGATGGGAAAACCGCTACCGCTGCTCTTCCTGCCGACACTGTCGGTGTGACGCGCCTATGTCAGCGCAGCGGCTTTTATGGGGTTTGGTCCGACCTGGTTGAAGACTGCAGAGAAGGGGCGGGGCTTGCGTCTGGCTCCCGCCACCTCCCCGCTTTCTCTGCGGCGCGGCCCGCGAGCAGAAAATTTCAGGATTTTTGTGCATTTCCCTTCCCCGAAGCACAACGGACTCGGTGTTTTTTTCGTTTTTCGGCGTGTTTCTTGTGTTTCAGATAGCCAGGAGAGTGTGTCTGTTTTTTTATAACGATTATTGTATTTTTTAAAGTTTTGATATGTCGTGATATCTTAGAAGAAAAAGCTCATTCATACAAAGTTTCCCCACTTATTGATTCATTTAAATTATGCTCCGATTTGTTATTTTCTAAGATTCATGTCTTGTGTATTTTGGTATGTATGGATTGTATATCCACCTGCTTGTATGGATTCTCCTGAAAGACTTCTCTGTTTATACAGTTACTTCACTCTTTCTTTTTTTTAAAAGGATAACCTTGCAGTAAATTCTGTCCAATCATGTTTCTGAGAAATTCTACCCATCCTCGCTTTTTTTTTTTTTTTCACATTTTCATTTCCTGCCATCTCTGAATGTTATCTCAAGGTGAATTTACCATTACAAGTATGCTAACCCAGACTTTACATGTTTCAGTTTAATTTTTCAAGGTATTATTTTGGAAGAATATTTTTACAGTATTCTCCAGTGTGGTGGTGCCATAAACAAGAGCATGTCTATTTTTACAGTGATTGAAAAAATAAATACTGAAAAAAGAAGGGTGGTTTTGATTTTCTTGGGTATTTTTTAATTCTGGGTTTGGTCTCTATAGTGGAGGAAAATGTTCTGAGATTTTGCTGTTGAAACCAAGCTGTATTTAGCAAAAAATTATTCAATAGATTGTTTTTGACCTGAAAATTATCAGGGAGGATAAAAACAGTTTCCTGTATTGGGTGTTTGCTGTCCTCTCCCAGATATTTTTGCATTGCTTGATAGTGGTCTTCCTTTCTTACTGGCTGGGCAGCTTTATGTAATGTGTGCCTTCATGAAGATACAACAAAAGATTGAGCAATAATCAATCTCTCTTCCCAAAGACCACAGACAGAGGTGTTGCACCTGTTAGCAGAGAAATCTCTGCTCACTGGCCCCTCTCTCACTGATAAATGAAAATAATGGCATCTGTCACATATTCATGCACCGTCTCTTCAGCACGGGCCCAAAGGATACCCAAACGGGGCAAGGCAATACCAAAACTCTGAAAGAGACATCCTAAAATTTCAAACCTCTGACAAAGGCTCTGTTCCACAAGGGACTGACAGTATTCTCCTCTGGGCTCTGGCGATACTTCTGGAATGCAGTGGGGGTCCCACGGCTCAGGTGATGGTGCTATCTTCCCTAAGGCCTATTTGCTCCTTTCAGGGAGGGAATTTCAGGAACCATGGACTGCTGAGGGAGACCAGGCTATCAGGAGAAACTGGGCACTCTGCAGTCAGCTCTTCTGTCACTTCCAGGAGATTTTCGGAGTAAGGTGGGTATGTCCTGCACTGGTAACAGTACACTTGGTGTCACGCTTGCAGCAGGTTTGTCACTCTCTGAGTACACAGGCGAGTCCCCAGGGTGTTACCAACAGGGCAGTTTAGCACTATCTGCTGCAGAACTCCCTGAACTTACTCTGCTATGAAATCCAGACCTTCAGTCTGTTCAAGCAGACCTCAGGGACTCTGGCTCTATCACAGGTCCTCCCTAGGAAGTGTTGCCACTTGCAGATACCTGCCATGAGGCTACTGCAAAATCCTGGGCAAATCACATACCTAAGCAGCTTGTGATATATTGTACAGCACTGTAAAGCTGTACAGCTCTGTAAAGCTGAGATTTTTTTCTTTTTTTCTTTTTTCCCCAAAGGAATAAATGAAGGTACAATCTCATAACATAAATTCTGCTCCATAATGAGCTGCTTCTGCCCAAGGATCTGTGACTACATATAACATTTTCCTCTGTCTCTTGCTGCCTGGTTGCTTTGCAAAAGATCTGAAACCATTTGGAAAAGCAAGTTTTGGGCTGAGTTCCTGCTCTTCTTCACTCACCACTGATTCTCAATTATAAATCAAATATCATCTGTTCTGTGAAGTCTGATGAAATGAAACAGTAACTTAAGAGCCATTTAATCATTTCCTATGGAAGAGACATTCAAAGATCATTCAGACTAACCTCTGTGTTGCATTAAGAGTACAGAAAATTGACAGAAAATGAGCACCCTTGCACTCCAGCTTGTCCTCACACATCAGAGGGGCTGACTGCAGCTGACCTTAAGTTTTGATTCCTGCAAATTCAGCACTGTAAGCCTGGTAGAGTAAAATAAGAAACATGAGCACAGATTCACAAATAGCGCAGCTTAACATTTCAGCTCTATAGATCTGGTTGTATTGAAGAACTTCTGTAATCACAGACTGGAGAACAGAGCAGTTTATTGAAGAAACTGAACTATAAATTCAGAATTGCCAGCGCTAAATGCACTGTGACAGAGCTCCAAAAGAACAATAATGTTGTGTTAACCTAGACATTACTATTATTATTATTATTATTATTATTATTATTGTTATGTTACGAAGTTTACCAAAAAAGGCCTGCCCATCTGGGAGGAGGGAGAGGAGAGTAGCCTGTTGACTGTTCTCCAAGGCCTTTTTGTCTTCCTCCCAAACAGGTTAAATTTCTACCCTCCTTATCTAAAACATAATCTTATCCCACTCTCCCTCTTATGTGTGGCATGATCTAGGTGGAGAATTGAGTAATATAGTCACATATGTGGTAGCACATACTTCATAAAAGTTATTAGCATATGCAGTAGTGTGCAATTTAATGGACAACTGACTTGATCAGGCAAAAGATCCTCTTTTGGCCATGTGTCCTTCAAAGTTCAGATCATGACTTTGTTCCAATTGTGCTGTTCCTCAGACCCAAATTGTGACCATCCTGTCTCCACAGGAGTTCCCCTTCAGCCCAGTCATTCTCTCTTGACATCAAGAATGAATGTCCTGATGTGCACAGGTAACAGGAGGTGCAGTGCAGCCCACAGGCAGTGAGCTACAGCCCTTGCCTTGGCCCTTGGTTGTCATCTCACACCTCTGTGCTGCAACCAAGAACTTCTTTTGCTAGATCAAGTTTCAATGATGTAAGCTATAATCCTATTAATATTTTTTTACATTTCAATTCTTCCATAGCTGCTGGCAGCCCAATCCTGAAATAATTGAAAAATGAATCCTGCAGTCACTGAGGTTTCACTGACGTCTCAGCTGTTCATGCAGGACTGATGAACAAAACTCATGTGGAAATGGAAGTGCAAAGAGATCAACAAAACTATGTGCAAAATGAAAATCAGAATGCAACATAACTCCAAGCCTAGAAATAATTGTCCAAAATTGAGTGTGGAGAGTGAATGGGGATCCCAGGATCCTTCACACCAAGGCCTTCATTATGCTTTGAAAACATGTTATGTAGAGGAGAGATCTCAAATTCCCACAGAAGAATATTCGATAACCCTGTGTCCAGCAGAACACTGGGTGCATTGTGATCTAGATAGTAAAAAACAAACTTGTGGAAGGAAAACTCTGTTCTGTAATCTTACTGTGTGAAAGGTGTCTAGTGGAAAAGTGGTTCTGTACCCAAATTCAAGCTGGTTCAAATCTGTACTACTGACATGCAAGCAGCAGAGACCAGGTCTGGTATTAATGCTATTTATGTTGCACCCTTCCAGACTCCACATCTGGCTATTCCCAGCTTCCTGCCCACACATTGCAGGTGTTTCACAACTGAAAACAGCTCCTTCCTTTTGAGAACCTGTAAACTTAATCTTTAAATGTACATAACTTACATTTTACAATTTCTTTAGCCCAGGATAATAGGAAGGACTTTTTCTCTGCTTTATTCAACTGTCATGGTTTAACCCCAGCCAGCAGTCAGCACGATGCAGCTGCTCCCTCACTGATTTCCAGAGATGGGGGAGAAAATCAGAAAAGTGAAAAAAACTTTGTGCCTTGATATCAAGACAGTTTAATTGGTGAACCAAAAGTCATGCATGCAAACAAAGGAAAACAAGGAATTAATTCATTCTTCCCATGGGCAGGCAGGGGTACAGGCACCTCCAGGAGAGCAGGGCTCTCTCATGCCTCATGGTGACTTGGGAACATGAAAGCCATCCCTGGAATACTCTCCTCCCTTCTTCTTCGCCACAACTTTATCTGCTGTCCATGAAACTGCATATTTGGAATATCCCTTTGGGCAGTTGGGATCAGCTGTCCTGCCTGTGTGCCCTCCCACCTCCCGGTGCACTCCTCATGGGTGAGGTGGTGTGAGAAGCAGAAAAGGCCTTGGATCTGTGTAAGCTCTGCTCAGCAATAACTAAAACATCCCTGTCTTATCAACACTGTTTCCAGCACAAATTTTAAACATCTTTGTTCCTGAACTAACACCGTTTGCTTTTTATGGAAGTCTAGCTTCTAATTTCTCTACCAAACACAGAAGATCTCTCAATAAATTAGTGGAATAGTTTCACTAGCAATAAAACTCCACCTTTGATATTTTTAAGAATTGAGCCCTTAAGGGAGACTTTTTCATTGTTTTTCAAAGACATGATGAGACCAGGCAGAATAAACTCTTTCACCTGACAACAACTACCATAAAAGATATAGATATACACAAGTACAGGAATAACACAACCCACTAAGAGAGAATGAACACATGGAGAAACATATATTTGAAAATTACCAATTACCTGGTTTTGTGGTAATCTGGCAGGCCATTGGGCTTTGTGATGATGACTAATGCTGATGAAAAATTCTGTAACCTCATCATAAAAAAATGTTCATCAGTAGAAAATAATTTGTTATTCTGGGGGGGGAGGGTAACTTAAACAGAATTCTTGGCAGGTTCCTATGTCTGTTCTGCTGTATGTAGGCCTTTATCTAATTCAGTGG